CAGAGAACTCGAATACACCAATAGCTTCCTCCTAATTTTTTGCCACTTTACTGCAGAGTTGTTCAGCCATGCCTTGTGAAAGGTGGCTGGCCTGCTGGTTGAGGCTGACACCCTCCGGTTTTAAGGCTCTGCCATCTGTGTGGTCTGCAAGGTAGTATGAAAGAAAATTTCCCCCTTCCGGGTGTGTTTTCACAGAAAAGGAAACCCAAGGCACATCCTCCACCTTTCCCACCGCCAAGCTTGCTCAGAGCGGCAGAGGTAGAGCAGAACACTTGGACCTGCGATAGAACCACATTTTAATCTTGCGATGTCACTTAGATCCACCATGTCTCCAGGCTTCCATTTCTTCATCTACAAAGGTCGTCTGTGTCTTGATGACTCTGACATACGGCTCTATATACTAATCTAGAAATTCAGACAGCATGTGAGCTTTACTCTCTGTCATCTTTACTACCTACTCCAAATGTTAAATGACAGGACTGTAGTGGCAGCAGTTACCCTGGGATCCTGAGGGCAAGTGTGCTAATAACTAACCTGCCTGTAGGCCAAGCATTTCTGGCCCAGCCCCGTTTCTCCTTCTTTTCTTCTCCCATGGCTCCCCAGTGTAGATTTACACACACATACTGGCTCTAAGGTGGCAAAACAGAGGCGTCTATCTGTTCACTACTGGCAACTGCCATTTGTGGGCCCCTGTGAGAAATGTGAGGTCAAGTGATGTACGGATCCTTGGGAAAAATTTTTAACACTCTTTAAAGAGAATTTTACAAAATTTTATAGGTATGGAATGGTACTTGAATTACATTTCAGGTTTGAGATCAACATTGCCTAATGCTTATAATATTTATTTTTTTAGTGTGTCAAAATGTACCAGTTATACGGAGTTCTGCATCTTTACCTTACAGTACTTATTCCATTTATCCCTCCATCCATTCATCTATATTAAAAAAAAGTTAAGCTCTTAGAATATAGAAGGTTCTGAGGATTATGAGAGGAAAATAAGTCATGACCTTTACGATCCAAAGCTTACTTTACTATTGGAGAGAACATGATAAGAAACAGCTAATAATTTGTAAAGTATTGACAAAGAGCGCAAAAGAATGCTATGGAAAGTAAATGTTACTGGAACAGGAGTGAAATTGGAAATTATGTAACACAGCAGTTGTGGAGGGGGCAGCCAATGTTGTAGAAGGGGAAGAAGATTCTGAGAGGAGAGCAGTTCTTCAGAGATCTTGTGTATTATGTGTTCCAACAGAAAGAATGCCGTGAAGGGGTTAATAAAAAGTACTTGGGCTTCATTTGAGATTTGTCAGAGCAATAACTCCTACCATTTAAAAGGCCCCAATGAAGCTTTGAAGTTCACACCTCATTGCTGAGAAGTATGATGGCTTTTCATTATGTACATTCATGCCCTTGCATTAAAAAAGTAAGACAGATGACTCTAAATATGCTAGTGTATGTCCCACCTGGATTTAGGCCTCTTTTCCTTTTCTCTGCCCTGAACTTCTGCCTCAGCTGGGATTTGTAAACTCCACTGCTTACAGGGGAAGAGACATAGGTACAGTGTTTTCTAGCTGACAGGGTGATATGGCAAGTGCCCAGTCTGTTATTTTTTAGAAACTACTATTTCCTTTCATTGCAGAGATCTCCTTGCTCATTTTCAACCAACCATTATTTGTTGAGGGCCTACTAAATGAGAAAATGTATGTTAAAGTACTAGGTAAAGGCCTGGAAACATCAAGTATTGTTATTAAGCACCGAAGGAGAGAGAAACAAGGATTAGACAGATCTCTGCCCTCAACAGCTTACTTTTTAGTTAGGAACTAAGCGTCACCCAAGATCGCGAGCATTAGAAAGCAGTGTGTGTGAGATGCTGAGCGAGGGGATTGCAGGCCGTGAGGATTAAAGGTCAGAGGTTCTCTTTTTATTTTCCCTATCTTGGTTTCAGTTCTTTCCACCACAGTTTCTTGCTCTGAAGACCCAAGAAACCTGGGTGGGTAAAGAGAGGCTAATTTTCTTTTTCCCTGGGTGGGAGGGAAAAGATTTTTTTTTTCTTTTAACACTGATTTTCTTTTTGTTTGTGCTTCATGGGCGTTTTGTTAATACATTCTTCCCCATGTATATGAGGCTGTGAAAAGCGTTTGCTGCTGCTGCTGTATTAACAAGCAAGGTTTTTGCACCTGCGTTTGTGACCTCTCTATTCACTTGCACGCTGTCTGACTATGGCTAGGGGTGCCGATAGCAGGTCTGGAATGAAATGCATCTGTAGGAAACCAGCAGGTCCTAAGAGACTCGAACCCTTGACCTTGGTCTCATTCACATTATGTCGTGAGCAACTGAACTAATTGCTCACTATTTAGTAGGTTAGATCAACAACAAGACCTAAAAGAGTTCTTAATAGTATCCCAAAGACAGTAACTCTCACTGAGGTAACATGTAGGCACCAGAAGAGCCTACTTAAATATTTTTAGGCGAATTTACTTAGGCAAATAGACTTTTAAGGTAGGAAATATATGCCTGTGATTGTGTTAACCAAATTTCTTGAAGGTAACTAAGATTGCAAAGACATCTGTCTAGTTTGTGGCTTAGCCTCTCTTAAGCTGTGTGATTTCGTAGAGTAAGTAGCTCCCCTTCTCTGGACCTCAGCTTTTCTATTTATTAATAGGTTAGATTAGGATTATCTATTCAGTAGATGAGGGGTTTGGATTTTTCCACCAGAGCACCCCAACCAGCAGAGGAAGGTAAGTGGGTGCCCTAGGGGATCTGGAGGCATAGCCCAAAGCTTCACAAGTGCAAAATTTTATTCAAGTCATTTTTCATTTGTCTAAAAATTCACCCAAGTGTTGCATATACTCCATATCCTATCCACATTTGTTGTACAGTGCACCCTGACTCCAGGCTGAGTAAAACCAGCCCATTGGGAAGATACACCATGGTTGTCATGGGCTTCAAGTAACTTCTGGCAGCACTGGGTTTGTTTAATCAGTGGCTTATAGTCAGGAGTTTCAGACTGTCTCTGGGGAGCTTGGAGGCTCCAAGGCACATCCCTGGGGCAGTTATTTAGCTTTGGTTTTACATCTATAAAGTTAGATTGGGGTAATAGTACTTTCTGAACCCTCCAGGTTTTCATCTCTACCCTTTTAATAAATAGATATTACATTTTCTTTACTTTAGTTGTTATAATATCTAGGTCTGTTTTTTAACTTGTAAGTGTAATGTGGCTAGTGACGCAGGAATGAATAACTTAGGACACAACGTCAAAATAACCCAAGGAGGCAGTCTAAAAGAAACCTGAGTTGTACAAAACAGAAATTAGAAGTATTAGATACAACTCTATTCAATAAAAGAAAATTTAATTGTATCATTTACTTCTGCAACAGTTATAAATAAATTGAAGATGAGGAAGGGGTTTATGTTCTTTCTATTTCCCTCCCAGAGGCTGTTACATAAGGCAGCGATTTTTCATCTTTTACATCTCATGGCACACATAAACTAATTACTAAAATTCTGCAGCACACCAAAAAATGTTACATTTTTTTGCCGATCTGACAAAAGAAGGGGTTTAATTTTGATTCATTCACACCAAACGGCTATTGTTGCGTTGGCGATTGCCTTTTTTTTTTTTTAATTTGACAATCTAAAGGAAGAGAGGTCAGTGCCCTGACTAGATAGTCAGGTATTGCATGTTTTAAAAGTTCTTGCCGCACACCGCTCTGCCTGCCATGGCACACCCATTGAAAATTGCAGGCGTAAGTGATCTCCTGTAGTGCATTGTTAGTATTCTTCATACAGAACACACTACAGTATGTTTCAGAAACATTTCTTGTTAACACAAAATTACTAAGCAAATTCCAGAAAATTCTATATTTTGTAAGTTATAAAAATTACTGTATAATTTCTTTAATGTTTGCATTAGCTCTTTTTGCCCGAAAGGAGTTACTCCTCAGGACATTATAGTTTCAAATGACCAAAAATGATTGGTCAAAATTCTGTAAACCTCACGGAATTGTTGCATTATTTTCTATAAACCACAGCCAGAGCTCATTAATTGAAGAATGAATGTCAATTTCCATTAGCCGACATCTATAAACTAAAAAGGTACAGCGGTCCCAGCATGTTATGGATAATAAAAACATTAGCAAAATGTATCAGGTAAAGTAGAGAAGGTGGAGGGATAAATTCAAAACCATAGTGGAGTTACTGGCAGGGCCCCACATAAAGGGTTTTAATGACGCTTCTGCATCAAAATAAGGGAAACCACATGGAATTTTAATTGTGACTACAATATATTTTAAGTACAAATATCCACGAGAAGCATTTTTTACATGGCAGGACTATCTGAGTGAGCTCTTTGCTCCTATAGGGGGCAAACACCGATATTTTAAGTGTGACTTCTTTCTGTTTGAAATTGCTCACATTATTCTGGTTTCTTTCACATGATCTGAGCATTGAACTTAATATGTACAGAAGTGGCCCGCCTCTAACTATTAGCTCTGCCAGCTCAAGTTCACCTAGATGCTCAGCAATGAAAAGACTGGCTGAGGAACATCTGTGGCCTCCATATTGTGCTTATACCCGTAAGGCAATTCATATGCGTGAGGCGGGGAGATGTTAAATCTCATCTGTTCCCATTTGCCATTCTGTCATAATCACTACCTCTAGATTTTTAAACTTGAGCTTGTCAGAGTTTTGTATTTGGGAGGGGTTAGGTAGAGGCCAGTTGAGGATGGAAGAATTTGTAAAAAGCAGAGAGTAACTGCCCAGACTGTGTTAGTTTTGGTTTGTCATCTTGAAAGTGTTTGCTTCTGGTATTTGAAGCTGCTCACTGGCTTTTTACCCTCTATCTCTGGGCCTGTGGATTCCGGGAAAGGACAAACAAGGGGGTGGGAACTTCTCTGCCTCCCCCTCCCCTAAGGCTGTTGCTTCTCCTTCTGTCACGGAATTCACGGTGATAGAACTTAGAGCTGGAAGGGAACTTAGAGCTCATCCCCCTCATTTTACAGATGATGACACTGCCACCTCTGACTTCTGCCTCTGGCCTTCCACTCTCAGTAAGAAGAGCCAGGCAGGTGAGACTTTTAACCATTGCTGGGCTGGGCTGGGCGGGGCTGTCTGATTGCTACTGTGCGATTTGTGAGAACAACTTTTGTTAACTCTTCACTGCTTTTAAATAGTCACTTTTTATTACAAATGCACATCATGGCACTTAGCCCTGGTACTTTATGAAGGTTGCAGGCAGTGTGCATTTTAACAAAAATTAGCAGCTCCCAATCAGCACCTTTACAGAAAAGTATTAGGGTTATTCCTTCAGTAAGTAGAAGTTTTGCAGTATCTAAGAACTAGTGCTAAATAAAAATGGAGCTGAAGAAGTACTTAACCCACCAAGGCCTTCAAGAATTACTAAGTGCTTTCCCTTATAGACAAAAGCTTCGGAAAAGCAAATATATGAAATCCAAAGAATGGGAAGATTTTTGGATGCAACCAAAATCTTAAGAATACTGGTATTACAAAAGGGCTTGTCACAATTTTGTTAATTTTAGAAAATCATGACCCAGTCTTTGGAAACTAGTTTCCACACGAAGTGGTTTATAACTGTGGTTTCATAAGTTAAGCACCAGAAATATCTATCGAGGAAGCATACTGTTGGCTTTAGAAGCTAAAGGACTTCACATTTCAGGGGGAAACCATTTTTGCCTCTATGTTACCTGTTTGGCCTGAAGTGAATTCTATAGAATGTCGTACTACAGGGACCTGGTAAATGGATGGTGAGGTGCCCTTCTCATATCTCCCCTCCACAGAGAGCCTTTCACAAAAGCTACAGTCGGCACCTGGCCTAAATCAGGTCCTGTATCTCCTATCAAGGCTTGAAATGCAGTGATTTCTAGGTACTAAGCCCCTCTTCCCACCCCCCAGTGCTTTTAAAGCTTATTTATTTCCTTCATGACCCTTGGGAGAATTTCTAAGGACTCAATTCTCCCCATATGCCCCCAGATAAGTAATATAAATAAATAATCTTCTTTGTCTTCAGTTTGGTTTGATTTTTTAAAAAATTCTGTTACTAAGATGAGAATAAAACAAGATTTTAAATTATATTAAGAGTTGAAAAGAAATGATTGGAACATGTTAGGGTATCTTTTTAAAGTTCCTTCATTGATAAAGGGGGGCCTGCCAAGAGTAACAATGACAAAACTGATCATTCTGAAATTTCTTTATATTCGGTTGAGAAAATGAAACTTGTCCACCGTAGTAAAAATGTTACTTTCAAATATCTGAGGTGCAAGGAGAAACAAAAAGAGAGAGAAAAAAATCAATGAGGATTCAGTCTTAAACTCTGGTGAGTGAATCTATATGCTAAAAGTGTTGGGTTGGTTTACACGTATGACCTAGCACACATTTGGCTTTTTAAAGCCCTTTGGGGTTCTCTGGGGACGAAGAGCTTAAGGAGTAATGCCGGTAAGACTATGAAGTGGAAACAAAAAATGACTGGGTAGTGACCGGTGCATTTGAAGATCTGTTTGTGGCTTGCTATTCCTTTTTGGGAAGCTAAAGTTTTCTTTTTTCTTGTAAAAATTCTATCATTATTTTAATTGATATTTACAGATTTTTTCCCCCCATCTTCTGTTATAATTTTTAGGTGCTTCAGAACTGGGCCCTTTTTCAGACCCCAGGCAATTCCCAAGCATTTCATCCCTCACTGAGAGCCGCTTCTCCAACCCACGAATGCACTATCCAGCCACCTTTACTTACACCCCGCCAGTCACCTCAGGCATGTCCCTCGGTATGTCCGCCACCACTCACTACCACACCTACCTGCCACCACCCTACCCCGGCTCTTCCCAAAGCCAGAGTGGACCCTTCCAGACCAGCAGCACTCCATATCTCTACTATGGCACTTCGTCAGGATCCTATCAGTTCCCCATGGTGCCGGGGGGAGACCGGTCTCCTTCCAGAATGCTTCCGCCATGCACCACCACCTCGAATGGCAGCACGCTATTAAATCCAAATTTGCCTAACCAGAATGATGGTGTTGACGCTGATGGAAGCCACAGCAGTTCCCCAACTGTTTTGAATTCTAGTGGCAGAATGGATGAATCTGTTTGGCGACCTTATTGAAATTCCTCAGCAGTGGCCCAGCGGTATCTGGGAGCCACGTCCCAAATGTATCAATATATACATATATAGAGAGAGTGCGTATATATGTATATCAATTAGCTATCTACAAAGTGCCTATTTCCTAGAAGATTTTTCACTCACTCATTCAGTCATGCTCTTGCAACTATGAGAGGGTAGATATTGAGAAACAGAAGGCCCGAGAGAGAGAATCATAATCAGGTTTCAGATTGTTTTCTATCTATTTTTCTTTAAATAGAAAAAAAAAATGTACTTTTACAAACAAAGGAAAAGTATTTTTGTTGCTGGTGTTTGGTCTGTTATAAATAACCTATTCATATGCCAATTCAGAAAGGTGGACTCCAGGTTCAGGAGGAAGAAGAGCAAAGCCGCTTCCTCTCTGTGCTCTGAAACCACACGTCCTCACGGTTGCAGCTGTGTGTGGACCGTGCACTCTGCAGACCAGCTTACGAAGCCGGTCGAAGTGCACGTAAAGGGAAAAGAGGTAGAACGGATGCTTCCAATGCAGTGTAACTGTTTCAAACTTGGCTTTCACACCTGCTGCAAGGACTCATTGGAACTGTTTGGTTCAGTTTTTTTCTTACTTTAAGAAAATGACTTCAAAAATACTGATCAGGAAAGGTTTTTTTTTGTTTGTTTGTTTTTTTTTAATATTCCCCCATACCCCTGCCTTTCCCATTTAACCAAAAAGAAATACCATCCCGAAACCCCTCTCTTCCTTTTATGCAAAACTGAAAATGGCAATACCTTATTATAGCCATAATGGTATAGATAGTGTTTGTGTTTGGCTGTGTGTTATTGTTTTCTTTTTTTTTAAATTATGAATATGTGTAAAATCTGAGGTAACTTGCTAAGTGAATGGTCATATAACTTTAAAGATATATTTATAATTATTTAATGACATTTGGACCCTTGAAACATTTCTTAGTGTATCGATATGTTGACTTCGGTCTCTAAAAGTGCTCTTTATGAAATAACAAATTTCTTCAGTGGGCTAGAGCCATACCTGAAATATTGCTAAGCAATTTCAGTTCATCCAGGCACAATGTGATTTTTAAAAATACTTCCATCTCCAAATATTTTAGATGTAGCTTGTTTTTGTGACGTATGAAGGAAATGTTATGTTAGTTCTTTCAGATCTTTGATTGCCTCTAACACAGCTTTGCCTTTTAAAGCAATAATTAGGGATTTAAAAAAACAACTCTTAGCCCTTTATCACTTATGTTGCCCTTAATCAGCATGAAATGCTGGAGTGATGGTGGTTTTCTCATTTTTTTTCAAATAGTGATGACTCTTGTCATATTAAAAAGACAAGCACAAGAGAATCATTGAACTGCAGAAAAATGTTCTGTGGTTTCATAGTTAAAGCAGAACTCTAAATCGCCAGGCTTCATAGTGAAGACAAAGTGAGCCTAAAGCCACCTGTGTGGCCAAAGGACCAGTAATGGTACACAGAGCACAGGAAAGCAAAATTGCACCAGAGATTCTTAATCAACCCGCTTTATCAGACATAGAGCAGGGTAACCCAAATCTACCCAAGGCCTCCTGGGCAGCTCTCCACAGAATTTGCATTTAAAGGAGCATATTTAAGTCTTTGTCTTATGAGGGAGCAGGGTCATCTGAAGTAGCAGGTAGTTCCAGCAGGTAGCTAGCTGATCTGAGAGAACATGCAACCTGTGGGGTCTTACATACAACCTTAGACATTTGTATTTCTCACAGCGGAAGGCAAAGGGAAGGCAAAGCTATGTGGAGTTTGGTGTCTACTACTGTCTATGACTTTGAGCTACAGCCCTCCTATAGGATGCACTTTGACCACTCCTGGCAATCACGTGGCAAATTCTCAAGTTGTGAATCCTTAATCCAAGCCAGGATCATTTAATGACACCACCAGGCAAATTCCTGTCCCGCCCCCACCACAGGCCAGGGGCCCTTTGTTTGAATTCTGTGCCCCTGTTAGTAGAGATTTGCTTCCAGCCCCCAGAGGCCCCTTGCTCTCTCGAGTGATTTTCAAGCCCACCTTTCTAAGCTGCCAGTGTTGCAGGGCAGCTTGCTGGGCTGTTGGACCTGTCTTCTTGCCTGGAAGTCCCCCTTGGAATCCATCGTGACCCCTCCTAATAAGAATTGAGGGGAAACCAAACCAAACCAAAACACTTTGCCTTCTAAAGGTTGTATACCAAGTATGCTTAGATAAAGAAGCCACTTTTCTATTACTTAAGTAAGATGGAAGTAGTAATTGATACTATTTATTGTTTGTGTGTGGTAGCTTGAAGCATGCCACTGTCCATTTATTTGTAAGTGTAAAATGTGTGTGTTTGTTTCAGCAGCACTTAAAGAAGCCAGTGTCTGGTTACACATTTCATTTTTAATTAATTGACATAAAAATGTTACCGCCAGTGCCAGCTGTACCCTATTTAATAAAAAAAAAAGGTACTATATTTGTACATTATTTTCTAATGTTAAAAGGGCTTTTTTAAGTTTACAGTACACATACTAAGTGACCTTAGGGATGCTTTTGTGTTGAAATGTTATTATAGTGGCTGCAGGCAGCAACCCAGAAACACTTAAATTTTTTTTTTCTTGGGAAAAATTCAAGCACTTCATCCTTCTACCCTTGTCCAACCACTCCAGTGGGGTAATTCACATGTTTAGATCAAATTCTGCCTTTTTTTGGCCTGGGGGTTAAATTTTTCCTTTTTTTTTTTTTTTAAACTGAACCCTTAGTTTGCACTGGGTCATGTGTATGATTTGAGATTTCAAGACCAAAGTAAAGTTTAACTTCTGCTCTGGAATGTGCTAGCTATCGCTCCATTCCCTCCAGGTTAAAGAGAAGGGTTCTTTTTGTAGCATCAACATTGCTGGAGTTTACAGTGTGACCAACAGTCACTTTTTTTTTTAAACCTGTTTCAGTTGTCTTAAAATTTTAACCTATGTCAGAGTTCCAGAACAAGTACCACAGCTTTGGCTTTAGATTAGTGAAACGACATCCAGCCTGGAACTGGGAGACTCAACAGATTACCTGTCATTTGCCCTTTAGACTGTCTTTACCCGCCAGAGCCTTTCCAAAGAGAGCAGAGAAATCCACATGGTTAGTTACCACACGTAATTCAGAGGGGAGAAGATTTGCCTGCTGGCTTAAAAAGCTCCCTCCATTCCCAGGAAAGGGACAGACTCAAGAGTCTAGGTTATTAATACATGGAAACACAAAGCATTGGCAAAAACAATAATTATATCTTTGATATCCGGAAGAACAATAATGAATGAAATAAATAAAGGACAACTCTTCCAAACCTTGAATTTGTTATCCTTAAAAAGATAATTCATTTGAAACATATTTTCTATGTGAAAATTTTTAGATGTTTGTTTACTTCATGTTTACAAATAACTGTTTGCTTTTTACTGCAGTACTTTGAAATATATCAGCCAAATCCATAATTTACAGTAATTTCTTAGGTATTCTGAATAAAATTCCATTTTTTGGATATGCTTTACCATTCTTAGATTTCTGTGGAACAAAAATATTTGTAGCATTTTGTGTAAATACAAGCTTTTCATTTTTATTTTTTCCAATCGCTGTTGCCCAAGATTTGCTTTCCATGCACATATTGTACAAATTCTGCTTTGTGCCACAGGTCATGATTGTGGATGAGTTTACTCTTAACTTCAAAGGGACTATTTGTATTGTATGTTGCAACTGTAAATTGAATTATTTGGCATTTTTCTCATGATTGTAATATTAATTTGAAGTTTGAATTTAATTTTCAATAAAATGGCTTTTTTGGTTTTGTTATGTGTGTACATTGGGTCTTTTCTCATTCGCGGTTCCTTCTCTAATCTGACACCTGCTCCTGCCTACACCTGGGCACTTACTGGTCACAGGACTTGCCAGGGCGGAATGAGAGCAGAGACCCTCTATTGTTGGGCAGAGGGAAAAAGTCTTGGTGAGCCCTGGGTTCTTGTTTTGTCCTACTCCTGTAGAGGGCGGGCAAAGAACCTAGCAGAGAACTCATGTCCTCATCGGCCTGTGTCTGAAGGAAGGAATGCTCACCCCATCCATGGGTAAAGCCCTTCTTCCAACTATGGGACTGGTCAGGATGTAAAGACCTCAGCCTCGACGGTTCCATGATTCTCATCTCTGGGCACACGAACAAGGTCCAGTGAGTAAACCCCTGGCTGTAGTCAGAAGAACTCAGGAGGCCCAGCCGTAGCAGGTACTCCATTTTCCTTCCCATATCTCTTTGGGGTTCTTAAAAAGTCAGCCAAGCCAAGGATGAGTAAAAATGAATTTTGGCCTGGAGAGCTCTAGCCTGAGAAAAATTCTACGAGTGAGCACAACTATAGTTTTCAGATTTTTTTTTTTTCCCTGGGCCTTTGCTTGTTTTTGGTAAGTCCCTCCCCTGTGATGAGGTTGAGGGCCTGGGAAGAGTGGTGGCTTTCTCTCTGTCCTGTGCTGTCTGGAGGCCTTGGCTCACCATGGCTCTAAAGGAGGGACCAGGAAGCTCAGCAGCCTGCCAGCGGTGCACATTGCACTCGACTTAGAGGCCTCCTCCGACAAGATCTGTTCATTCTGACCCCTCTGGCACTGTTTTCTGAGAAATCCTGGAAATAGCTCATTTCTAAGACTAGGAGACATCCTAAAAGCACTTGAGTGAACTTAGGCCAGGGAACTTGTTTGCAACTCTTTGAGGGTGTATACTTATTTACCCTTTTAAATTAAACATCTGTGTGACTAAAAGCCATCACCTGGGAGGTGGGCACAGTGGGTTCTTTCCCACTCCAGCTCTGTCCAGCAGCATGGCTTAGGGCAAATCACTTTACTCCTCTGGGTCCTAGTTTCTTGGTTTATAGAAAGGTATTGGGCTAGACCTTGGCACTGTTGACATTTCAGGTTGGATGATTCTTTGGTGTGTTTGTAGGGAGGGCTGTCCTGTGTGCTCTAGGGCTTAGTAGCATCCCTGGCTTTTACCCACTAGATGCCAAGAGCAAGGCCCCAGTCCTGAAAAAGAAAAGTGTCCCCAGACCTTGCCAAATGTCCCCTTGGAGGAACCCCTCCCCCCCAACCCCCCAATTGAGAACCACTGGGCTAGAGGCTCTCTCTAAATTCTTAGGTCAGGCTTTACTGACTGCTCTGGTGTGCGGAAACATCGCTCATTAAAACATCATAGCCAGACCGGGACTTCCCAGTGATGGGTGTACCTCAGCCCTTTCCATCCCATCACCTGAGGCACCCTAAGGTTCGGCTGTGTTGTGAGGGAGGCTCCTGGGTTTGCTGTCTGTGTGTCTTTCCTCCTCCCCACATCATAGCTGTGCGGCTGGCGAACAGCGCAGCTGTGGGCTTGTCAGGCCCAGGCTGCTTGGCCATGTTTATCATGGCTGTTGCTGCTTCTTACTGGAAACGACAGGCAGAAGAATAAAGCAATTTCTGCAGTGTTTTTGACCCCTTGTGTCCCCTGCCCCCCAAATATTTAATCATCAGACATTTCTTCCAGAGTGGGTGTTTCCTGTTAACTCAATCCCAGCCGAGACTGGCCCAATAAACACCTCAGCTCTCTGTCACAGAGTTTATTTGGCTGGGAAATGGGTATTGCCATGTAAAC